TAATACCTTCCCTTTTCATAACCTACCCCCCAAAATCAAGAAATAATCTCAAAGGTCTTTCTTATTCTTTTCACCCTTTCCTTGTTGGATAAAAGAAAAGTCAGGGACGAATCTTGCTATCCGCAACAATTACGATCAAACGCAAAACAACCAAGTTAGTTCTCTCACCGTATCACACATGTATACCTCAGAGATCCAACTATTAGTTTATACAAATTTATATTGCCTTTGTCTTCCTCTCCATGCTTCTCCAACAAAAAATTTGGTTCGACATGCGAAGATGCTGCAGTTAAATCATCCATCCTGGATCTCTTAAGTAATTCTTTGACATATTTCCTTTGATGTAGCACCATATCTACTTCGACATTTGAAATTCCATGCCTAGGAAATAAGAAAATTTTCCCATATTAGACATTTCAAATTCCTTCATCATCAGCTCTTTGAACTTCGACAAGTTCTCCAAGCTATTTCCAGTTACCAACAAGTCATCAACATATAAGCAGATGATTATTATATCTTGTGCCAGAACCTGAACATAGACACCATACTCAGACTTACATTTTACAAATTCTAATTCGACTAAGTATGAGTCAATCTTCTTGTTCCATGCCCTAGGTTCCTGCTTAGGGCCATAAAGACGCTTTGTTCAACTTATATACTTTACTCGCTTCCTTTTGAATCACAATCCCTGGATGTTGTGTGACATAGACCTCTTCGTCTAAAGGACCATTTAGAAATGTTGATTTCATATCTAAATTAAATGACGACCAACCTTGGTTTCATGCCAAAGCTACCACTAGTAGAACAGTCTCTAATCTTGCTACTGGAGCAAATACTTAAGAGTAGTCGAGTTCCGCTCTTTGAAGAAAAACTCGAGCTACTAATATTTCTTTAAGTCTTGCTATCGACCTATAAACATTGTGTTTCAACTTGAATACCCACTTTACTCCCATGTGTTGTTTCTTTAGATTGTCTATAACTCTTAGACCATAGAAGACTTCCATTGCTTAATCTTCAAATCTTAAATATAGTTTATTGGTTTAGCACATGCAAGTAAAGCAAAATAAACTAATTCTCTATCTGGTATTACTTCATCATCACCAGTCACTTCATAGTCTTGAAGTCTTGTTAGACGAGCTCTAGTTCTTTTAGGTCTTTGGTTTGTGCTAGTCTCACCCTCTTTGTCTTTGAATGTGTCGGTATTGCCAATAACTGCTTCGACTTTGATTATAATATCAACAATTTCTTCGATTTCGACTTCATCAATTTCTTCGACATCGACTTCCTCAGTTTCTTCGTCGAAATCATAGCTCATCAATGTCTTGCTAATTGTATCATTAGAATTCCAATCCTAGCAGAATTTTCATCAATCACAATGTCTCGACTTATCAATTTTTTTGCATTGATTGGATTGAATAACCTGTATGCACCAATTTTATGATATCCTAAAAGAATCATAAGTTCACTCTTGTAATCAAGCTTCCTTCTTCTCGCATCAGGAACATGCTTGTAACACATAGAGCCAAACACCTTCAAATGACTCACTGATGGTTGTTTTTCACTCCTCACTTCTTCAGGAACCTTGTTCTTCAATTTCTTGCTAGGGAAACTGTTCAGAATATAAACAACAGTCAAAACAGCTTCCCCCCATAAGGATTTTTGGCAAATTCTTCTACTTCAGCATGCATCTCGCCATATCCAATATGGATCTACTTTTTCTTTCTGCAATTCTATTATGTTGAGGCGTATAAGGAACACTTACCTCATGATCTACACCATATTCTGCACAAAAATCTTCAAACATCATGGATGTGTATTTGCTTCCTCCATTTGTTCGCAGAACTTTGATCTTCTTCTCACTCTAGTTTTTGACAAGTATCTTGAATCTCTTAAATATTTCAAATACCCCGTCCTTTCTTTTGATCACATAGATCCAGAGCTTTTGACTAAACTCATCAACAAACGAAACAAAATATTTGTTTCCACCAATCGTATGCTCTTCGAACGGGCCTCATACATTTGAATGAACCACTTCAAGTATGCAGGATGATCTCATTGGCATAGTCAAAATGAAATAATTTCTGAATTGCTTTCCAACTAAACACCCTTCACAGAATTCGTCGGGTATCACAAGACTTGGTATTCCATTTACCATCTCTTAAGTAATAAGCTGATTGAGTGATCGAAAGTTAAAATATGCAAACCTCAAATACCATAACTAACTATCTTTATGGTCGACAACAATTTTTAGACATTGTACTTAAATCGAACTGATCACGGTCTTAAACGTCCTTTTCTTTGATAGTAGAGTTTTTAAGACCAAATTGTTCTGGGTGTCGAACAATTTTTAAACTCCATCTTTCATGACAACTAAGAAACCTTTTTCGATCGGTTATCCAACACTTAATAAGTTGCACTTCACTTCAGGTACATTGAACACATCTTTGATCATAACTTTCCCTCCATCACTCATTTGAAAAATTATGTTTCCAGTACCTTATGCTTGCAACAAACTATTATCATCAAGTTTTACCTTGCTCTTCCTCGACTCATCAAAATCTGCCAAGCACACCTTTTGACCAGTCATGTGATTCGAGCAGCCTGAGTCGAGGAACTGGATCTCAGATTTAACCTGGTTATCTGCAATTGCAGCCATAACCACCATACCTTGAGAATCATCTGAATCTTGGCGCGCAAAGTTCTCTCCTTCGTCTTTGCCTTTTGTTGATCCCTTGTCTTTCCTGTACCAACAATGCTTGGCCAAGTGACCCCATTTTTCAAAGTTGTAGCACTGCGCACCTTTTTTATCTTCTTTGTCATTTTGATAGTTTTCTCCTCCTCTTTTCGAGGGTTCAGAAGCCCTATCATCGACCTGGTTCTTATGAGGGTTCGACCAATACTTCTTTCCCTAAGTGTTGTCGAAATTGCCTTTGAATTTGTTGGAACCACCATTCTTTTTTCACGATTGAGCCTACAAAGCTTCTATTGAATCTTGAACTTCTTTCCTTTCGATAATCCTAATGTCACACGCTTCTAACCAATCAATCAAATATCATCTTATCAGTTAGGGTTTCACCATAACCATCCATGAAATGGACGAGTTTCTGCACCTTCGACACATACTTTGCAATCTTTTCGTCTTCTTCCATCGACAACAATTCATATTGTCGATGTAAGGTCTACAACTTGACAACCTTGACTTTCTCACCTCCTTTATAGTACTTGATAAGAGTATCCCATGCCTCATTTGCCGATTCAACATGAGAAATTCTGTCAAAATTTTCCGCAGCGACCGTCGTTTGAATGTAATACGCAACCTTGCAATCCTTCTTCTTGGCTTCGTTGGGAGCGGTCTTATGTGTGTCAGTTTCATTTGCAGCCAGCACATAAACACCATTACTAACCACTTCTAGGATTTCATGAAAGTCAAAGAGAGATTACATTTGTTTTCTCCATCGAATTCAATTCTTGCCGTTAAGAGTTAGAAGAGAATTCAGAGTGCCATTAGTACCATTCATCTTCACAACGATTGATTTACAATAACCCACAATCCCGAAAACACGATCTCTGAGGTGTGATTCTTAAAAACACGATCAAGAATCTAACCAGAGCTCTAGATATCAATTTGTTAGTGCGTGAAGAACTTTTAGTGAGGGGAGAAAGAGAGGGAATAAAGAAATAAATATTGTATTATTGAATTGATCTGTTACAAGTAATGATACAAACTATGACTATTTATATACACCTAACTTATACATTAAGTGGGCTAACAAATCCTAATTGGATTTGAGCTTAGGTTACACAATTTAGATTAGGTCTAATATCTCAATAATATCCTCCCCAACCACTAGAATAAATTTATACCATAGAAAAGTAGAGATAGAACAAGTGACAAACAAGTGGAAAGCCAAACTCTAAGGATATTATCCTAAAGCAACTTCTAAGAAAAGACCAAAACTTTCAAGAGAGCCTGGTTAACTCCCAAATAGAAACTAAAGAATAGTGTAAAGTAGATGATAAGGGAGACGAAGAAGCATGAAACTTATACAGATTACAATAAATAGTGACAACAATGTAGTTATTATTATCGCCCGACAACCAACACCAACGATCGTTCTCTAACGAAAAAATAATACTTTGAATTATGTGAATACTATAGTAAATTTTATTTTGATTTTACATAAAATTTTAAAAAATTAATTGAACTTAACTAATAATTTTTTTAATCAATGTAAAATTAACTATTTTTACTTAAAATAGTGATCAGAAAGAAAATTTAAGAATAGATATAGTATAACATATAACACATAAATATTTGACCTCAAAATAACGCAGTTGAGGGACATGGGTTCTATATTTGTGTTGGTATTTGAAGTCTTTCTAGTGTTTTATTTTTTGAAGCAGCAAAATAAAATGCATTAAAAACGACATAAGACATACCTACCAGTAGAATGTAACCGTCAAAAAACTAAATATGGGTTGCACAGACAAAGCAAAAACGCAACACTTACAACAAACACCAAAACCAAAACCAAAGCCAAAGCCAAACACCTACAACAAACTAGACAGATTATAAACTATGCAGACATAAGCCACAACCACTATAATTAATTAGTAGTGTTAATTATTAAGTTAATAGAAAGAAACAGAAATATTGAGATAAAATATTTAATTAAATCATAAATATGAATATTTAATATTTGATAAAAAGTAAAAAATAAACCTACTACAGTAATATTTCTGTCATAGTTATGGTTATTGTGTAGGACATTCTACTAGACCAAATCAATCACTTTGTTAACATCCTCACTAAAAAATAAAAGAAAAGAAAAAGAGAAAATAATGGTTATTGTGATAGTTGATGTGTGTGCAATAACTCCACCACAAGACACCTCTATAAATATCACCCAAACCTCACCATATTCAAGACACTTCAAAAACCTTCCCCATTTCCCCATTCCAACATTCACTTCATCATCATCTTCACTCTTTCAACTATAATGGAAGAAGCACTTAACCGTCTCAACGGAACAACCCCAACAACCATCACAGAACCCGACTCAAAAAAACCAACCTCCATCAAAAGATCACTACGCGAAACCCCCACCTCCAACAACGGCGGTGCCCTTAGGTACCGTGGAGTACGCCGCCGACCATGGGGCCGTTACGCAGCTGAAATAAGAGATCCTCAGTCAAAAGAACGCCGCTGGTTAGGTACCTTTGACACTGCTGAAGAAGCTGCTTGTGCTTACGACTGCGCCGCACGTGCCATGCGTGGCATCAAAGCTCGTACCAACTTCGTTTATCCAACTTCTCCTCCACCTTCTTCCACTTTTCCTTCCTTCAACTTCCCAAAACATTCTTATTCTCATTCTCAAACTCTTGATAAAACCTCTGCAAACAACCGCCACGTGTCGTCTTCTGGTTGGTCAACCGCCTCTGAAACAAACGGTGTTGAGTTCGGTAACCATAGAAACCCTTCAACTACTTCACTTGATATGCTTCTGTTTCGTGAGTTTATCAACTCTTCAAATTCCAACTCTTCTTTCGTTTCATCTTCACCTCAGAATCACTTTCACGACAACTTTTCATATTCTTACAACACCAATAACAACATAGGTAATTCTAGTACCAGTTCAACCTCTAGTTCTGCTTCTGGTTGTGGTTCTACTTTTCTCCCAGGTTGCTGTTTGGTGAACTCCTGTGGCGGGGGTGTTAATAGCAACAACATGAACAACACTTTTGTCGGTTTAGATTCTATCAATGCTTCAAAAATTTCTGCTGATGAAGACAATGAGTTTTTTCCTAAAGAGTCTTCTGATTCTGGATTATTGGAAGAGATTGTCAACAGGTTCTTACCAAAACCTAAGCAAGAAATGAAGAACGAGGGTTTTGGTAAGACTTTCTGCGACCCTTTTGTTCCTGCTGCACCTGTCTATGATCACACGCTTGAGATAAAAAAGGGTCTTCAAAAGAACGATTTTTTAGGTGGTGGATTTGATCAAAATGATTTCAATATGCAACAGTTTGAGAATTTTAACAATGGGTTTAACAGCACTTTTCAGTCTGTGCCTTATGGAAATGAACAAGTCATGGTGAATCGTGCTGAGAATTCTGTGTTTCAGTATCAAGAGGTTCTTAATGCTTTTGCACTAAGGATGCAAAATGCTTAGTTAATTATTTTATGAGCTTAATTTATATATTTTGTTGATTCTGTTTGTGTTTATCTTTTAGGGTTTTGATGTTTCTAGGTTAAACTATGTTACTACTATGTACTTTTCTTCTAGCTACTATGTTATGTTCTGAAAAGCAATAGATTTCAATAGTAGTACTATATTGGATAATCTTGTAATATTAATATTTTATGAATGTTTTAGAGCAAGCATGGTTTTTACCTTTTGTTCTACTTTATGCCTTGTTTTTGTTTTTCTGCTGTGAAGAACAAAAAGTTGATAAAAAAAGGGGTTAATGAGAAAGGCAAAGTCTGAGAGAAAAGTGAGTTTCTTGGTTTGTCTTGAGTTGATAAATAAAACAACGATGACTTGTGTGGTTGACCTTGGAACTAGAAAAGTTTTGTTTATTTGTTGCATTGCATACACTTTTTTCTCATGCTTTGTTAATTGAAGTCTGGTTTTTGAGTAATGCCTGGTTGTACTGTCGTTTTCTTCTTTGAATTGTTATGGAATGTATAAAGTTAGGAACAAGAAAAGTGTTGATATTAAAGTGTGTTGTGGTATGGGGGAAAGTGTGGTGTAGAGGCTGCAGGGTGAGGGTTTTTGGTTAAACGACGAAATTGCATGCAGGTGTGAGGTTTTTAGTTACTATACTTGTGTAGAATAGTCCAAAGAATAAAATGAATTTAATGAAAAGAATGAGGATTGGTTCTGTTGTGGTTGTGCAAGTGCAAGTTTTTGTTTCGGAATCGCAGAGGATTGTTCCATCAATTTGGTGCTAGTGCTACTTACCTATGTCTATACTCATGAGCCAAAGGTGTCTTATACATTCATCACATTCAATGGGGGCAACCATTAACATTTATAACTAGTTTATTTGTGTTTTACTATGCTTAAAAAATGTGCATTTGTTTATCTTTACATTAACATTTATAACTAGTTTATTTGTGTTTTACTATGCTTAAAAAATGTGCATTTGTTTATCTTTACATTAACATTTATAACTAGTTTATTTGTGTTTTATTATGCTTAAAAAATGTGCATTTGTTTATCTTACATTAACATTTATAATTAGTTTATTTGTGTTTTACTAACTTAAAAAATGTGCATTTGTTTATCTTTGATATTTAATATTTTTAATAATAAAATAATATATTAATAATAAATTTGAAAACTATCAAAATAGAAACAAAAGTATAAGAAAATGAAGTTGAACAAGAAATAAAAAACACAATCGATAGAGCAACATACGTTGGTGTTGGAGTTTGTTAAAAATATACAATGTTGAAAGTTTCATATCGTTTAGTTTTGTGAAAGAATGGAGAATCTAAGACTAATAATATAAAATTCAAGTTTTTCATTTCATGATGTATAATCAAAAATACTTTATCCTTTGTTAGTTTCTACCACAAGAATCGCAAAAAGACCAAAATTCATGAACTACAGATGAAAATACTCTTCTTCTCCGCCTCTTCCATCATTTTATTAATATTTTTGAAGATAAAATCATTACCGGCTCCCAATAATCCGAATGGTACTTAATTAACTTATGACACTCGTTAAAATAATATATAAGCTAAGAAATGAGAGAAGGAAATTGATGAATTGATGTTAAAATTGGCTAAAAGTTTCACAAAACTAAGATTGGTGGCGAGTTTTATCGGTGTCAGGTGATGAAATTGAGGAAGAAAAAAAATAAAGATGACGGCTGCCAATGATTGAAAAAGGAATTGAGTTGTATTTAATGAGAACTAGGTACACCTATTTATACACAAAGATAACAAAAGATAAGAATGTCACATAGGCCCTACAAATGGATAAAACTACCAAATATAAGAAATACTAAATTACCCCTTTAATACCATTCCTTAATTTATTATCTATCAGAAACTAACAAGATCAATTTCATTCCTCAATTGAAGAAATTGGTCTGTTTTGATTGCATTCGTCAGAACATCTGTCAGCTGTTTCTGGATGCTACAGTGCAAAACTTCTAACACTCCTTTCTGCACTTGACTTCTCACAAAGTGATACTTCGTCTTAATATGCTTGCTTCTTCCATGCAACACCAGATTCTTGCCAAGATTCATTGCAGAATTGTTATCAATCAACAGATTTAGAGGTTTCTCTATCTCAATCTTCAAATTCTCCAGAAGATTTAGAAGCCAAACAGCTTGACATGCAACTACAACACCTGCAATATACTCTGCTTCACACGTTGACAGAGCCACAACAGGCTGTTTCTTGGAACTCCAAGAAATTGGACATCCCAGAAACTTGAACAAGTAACCAGAAGTACTTCTTCTATCAACTCTATCTCCACACTAGTCAGAATCAGAATAACTCACTAATTCTGGTTCTGTCTTTCTTCCAGAAGAAAATAACACTCCATATTTCAGAGTTCTCTTGATATACCTCAGAATCTTGACAGTAGCTTGGTAATGAGACCACTTTGGTTTACTCATGAATATGCTAACCATTCCAACTGCATAGCAAATGTCAGGTCTGACATTGCACAAATACCTAAGAGAACCAACCAACTGTTTGAAGGTCGTAGCATCCATAGAATCACCATCAGAATCAGAATCTAATTTATGATTGGTTTCTGATGGTGTCACAACAAGTTTACAATTCTGCAACTTAAATCTCTTCAGAAATTCAAGTTCATACTTCAACTGATGTAGAATAATACCCTTTTTTGAGTATAAAATCTCCATTCCTAGAAAATATACCATATTTCCCAGATCTGTCATCTCAAATTCATTCATCAGAACTTCTCTGAACTTGATTATATCTTCTGGACAGCTTCCTGTTAGCAATATGTCATCAACATATAGACACACCAGAATCATATTGCCACCAGAATGTTACACATACACGCCATATTCCATCTCACATTTATGAAACTTCTGCCTCTTGAAAAATAAATCAATTTTCAAATTCCAAGCTCTGGGCGCTTGTTTCAGTTCATACAAGGCTTTATGTAATTTATATACCATTCCTTCCTGATTCTTTTTCATAAATCCAGGAGATTGTGACACATATACCTCTTCTTGTAATGTACCATTCAGAAATGCAGACTTCACATCCAGATGTATCAAAGGCCAATTTTTGTTTGCTGCTAAAGCAATCATGTAACACCCTCTAAAACCCCGCATAAAATTTCGCAAATAATTAAAAATCATATTTTCAGAGTACATGTACTAACGAGGATGCTACAATTCTCTTTTAATAAAACAAATTCCTGTCATGCATAACGTAGTAGTAACTCATACATGTTTACACAGCGGAATAATTTAATTAATAAAATCAATGTTATAATATTTTCAAAATCATCAGGGATTAACACCTGGAAAATGTCAACATCATATTATAACAAAACATAAGGAATTAAACGAGTCTGACTAAAACAGCTCGACAAACAAACGTTCCCGGAGTTACAACTATCAGAGCATGACCCGGACAATACTAAAGCGAAAGTAAACTAGAAACGACAAGCCTTCGCCAAGCACCTGAACGAAGCTCCTCAATCTGAAATATGCAACAGTAAGGGTGAGCATCTCAATTATACATTTGATTATACGTTCATAACAATCAATTCAGGAAACCATAAGCATCACCCAACAATTAGCATATTTCATAGTTTACAAAAACCTTTATAATTCATATACCCATGATATATTACTTTTCATATTTGCAAATAATCATCAAACATCGTCAACCATTTAGCAATCATACGTGCATACAAACAATCAAATACAACATTGGAAAAATCATCCATTCATGTTATATTCAAGGTAATGCAACACACCCATGCATGTGGTACCACTTTACCGCCCCATTAAATCTCGGGTCACGGATAACTCACCGTTCCATTATATCGCGGACACGGCTACCACCTCAACGTTCCATTAAATCGCGGACACGTATATTGGCCACCATGTTAATTCCACACAATGGGAATTAACAAATGCAACATGATATGTAAAGTATGTAACACTCAGCATACTATGAACATCAATCAACATATCATGCAACATCAACAACATCAATCATAACAGGATATGGATAGCATGTAATCACTCAGCATACTATTTAAACATCAATCATATCAAGTTATATCATAATTCATGCTCGATAACATTATCCAAAAGCATGACAATAAAATCCACAATAACGCACAAAAAACAAAATTCAGAAAAATCACACACAGCAGCATCAACACGGGTGCCCGTGTTGTGCAACACGGCCCGTGTTGCTGAGCGCGTCCAGAAAACACATTTTTTTTCTCATTACAGGGGACCTAACACGGGTACCCGTGTTGTGCAACACGGCCCGTGTTGTAATGTGTCCAGAAAACACATTACTTTACCAACACAGAAGAGCAACACGGGTGCCCGTGTTGTGCAACACGGCCCGTGTTGCTGAGCGCGTATAGAATTTTCCTGTACCTACAGCAGCTCAGAACAGCAGCCAAACGCGGGAAATGCCAGCCAAAACGCGCATTTCGGTACCTAACGACATCGATTTTGTATAATTCAAAACAACACCTCAATTTCCTAATTACCAACAATCATTATAGTAACCTTAGAAGTGATTAGTCGTTCATTTTGGGGAAATTTGCTAACATTGGGGTTATCCCTATAACTTCCAAGGTAAATTCACGATCATGCAGATATACTCCCAATCCACCATTAGGAACCTAAAATCGTTAATTGATTTCATAAAATTGAGAACCTAAACCCTCTTTAACAAAGTTCAATCCTAAGGGTATCGATCCCTAATAACATCTAACAATTGGGGTTTTTCCCTACGATTACCCAAATCAACCGTACATAAACCCATAAACAAAGGTAAATCGAGTAATAGCCCCCCTTACCTTATCAATTAGCAGCTTTGAACTTTTTGAGCGATGGTCTTCGTTCTTCGTACCTTCAGAGCTCTGCTTCCCAAATCCCAAATTCTGTGTTATCGTGAATAATAAGAAAAATAACTTGAGT